GTTGAAGTTTTATGCAGAAGATCCACCAAGCCAATCACCTGTTCGAGGACCAGGCAACCGTTGAACGCTGTCTCTGAGAATGTATTCTTTAGGCTCTCTCAAACTTTTGAAACCCAGCTTTAAAAATAAGGACCCCTTCACTTCCCTTTTGTTCTATTCTCACAATTTAACATAAACTCGTTAGTCTTTTTTATTGTTCTTATTATTCCCCAACAACTTTAGAACTTGGTTTAATGAAGCTTTCTCTTCTGAGTTCACTGGTTAAAAAAAAAAAGAAAAGAAAAAACCAACAAAAAAAAAGAAAAGGCATTGCTCTTATAGGTCCAGTTGTAAAAGAATAAACACACTTGGAGGGTGGGATTGTGGGTGGGCTAGGGTTAGAGCAAGGGTATTGACAAGAGTTTAAGTGTTAGTCCCAATGTTGAAACAAGTGGCATTTTTTAAAAAGAATTTGGTTGCATTTTTACATAACACTGCCATGAATAACCTAAGGGAAGTGTTGAATGGTGTTGGCCAGGGCATAAAAAGATAAATATGCATTTTACTAAACTACCTCAGGCATTTAGTACCTCAATGAGAAATTGTTCCTTTTTTGCTTTTTTTTTTTGGTATTTTGTATACTTTATAAAGCTAATAGTTCTTGAGCATTTTATTTTTTTAAAAAAAATTAAAATTTGATCAGCCACCAGCCAGGAGTACTACAGACTTATCGGGGAAAAATATAGTAGAGCACTTCTAGCTGCTGGCTGATGGGAGTAAGGTGGGTAAAAAAAACACAGCCTCAGATTTCCTGAGGGCTTCAACACCATCATTTGTTTAAAAAAAATTCAATGAATGTTCAAAAGATAGTGAATGATGCCAACATTCTGATAGCAGCAATGCCGTTTAGTTTTCTTTTAAGATGGGATGAAAAAGTTTGTGACGGTACTTTTTTGGGAACAGGACAAGGAAGTGATGGCAAGAGGCTGGGGTTGGGGGAAAAATTTAGAAGGCTGCAAGAGGCTGAATTTTTTTTTTGTGCTACTTGATTGAATGCATGAACCCTTTGTGCCTTTGACCATCACTACCTAATAATGCTACATTTAACCATTTGCAGCCCATTTGGACTTTGCCATTTTGTTCAAAGAGCAAGCTTCATCTTCAGTTTGATAGAACACTTGATCTGCTGGAGCATTTTTGAGGCCAGGAAGGGTCTCTGCTGTCTGCAGATCACATCATACTGCTTTCAGTTACCACGATGGGGGAAGGTCAAACAGTGTTTGATCACATTGAAAGATAATGAAAGGCTAAGTTTACATATCCAGCCGCTGTTATGGGCCACACTAAGCCACTTTGAAGGTTTTGAAAATGATTACAAGAAAAAAACAAACAAAACAACAACCTCTCTAGCCTGGCTTATAATAGATGCAGCAGGATTTATGCACGTTCTGCAACCAACCATTAGAGGAGAACAAAAAAAAAATGTCAAAAGGCAGGGATAACAGGAAAGTTACCAAATTTTTTAATTTCCAAATGTAATTTGAATGATGATTGTGGTAATAGTGACACATTCAAGTTTCTACAATAAACTTCAGTCTACCTCAGTTTAAGAAAAAAAAAAATGTGGCAACACATGGTGCATAAAGACTGCTGTGTGTGTGTGTGCGCGTGCGCGCCTGTGTGTGTGTGGTCGACAGAGCCATGCTATTACCTCTGAACCTTTTTTTGTGATGTTTTTTGTGCATGAGATGATCAGAATCACCATGCTGCACTGATTTGAGGGGCACAGCGAGCAAAAACATTTGTTTCATCATTTTGTTATCTACCTCTTAGGTTCATGTTGAAATAGAGGCATTACTACATAGACTAGATAATTTTCCCAAAGATCATTGTTGTACAGGTTAGATAATTTTGAAAATGGTCTGAAGTGTTTTTCCTGCATCTCTTCTTTACTAATTGGTTTAAAAACCACAAACTTATGTTGTAGTTTTAGCAAAGAAAAATGAGTTTCTTTTCCTTTTTTGACAGTGACCTTCATCTAGCCTTTAGGATAATTTTTTTTTCTTACAATGAATTTAAAATTACTGAAGTATGGAAAGTACATAGCATTTTAATTTTTGTTGAGGCTTAAGTCAGTCGGACGTTCCTTTCTTAACATTTGAGGAGGATTTGACTTCATTTTTTTCCATTAAAAATTACTTTACAGATAGGTGCTGCATTTACATCTGCTGATTTAAATACTGTCATCTCTCTTAAATTTCTAGACTTAATATGGTATCTCATGTTTTTCTTTTCAATTGAGACTTGGTAATTTGGAGTATTTGGGAATAGCTAGAAAGTAAATACTGTAAATGATTTCAATATCCAGAAAGTATGGATCATTTTTCATCTGTAATGTGCCCCCCAATGCAGCTCTACTTGCCAGATGCCTCTGAATGGAATAAAGAGTTTAACTCCTATCATCAGATAAAGTTGTGTGGTGTTTTTTTAAATTAATGAGGCATAGGGACAGACTGTCCCAAGTATTTGCAGTGCTTTGATCAAGTTGGTTTTCTGTCTGTAATAACTGGATAAGGATGAGCAGTAACCTACAGCTATTCCATAGCTGCCAGGATAGCCAGCTTACAGTGTTTGCACTTCCCAAAACAAGCAGTGACTTCTGTGGCTTGTACCTCCCATCTAACAATGCCATATTGTCTGTAGGACAACCTGTGGTTCATGGTTTGCCTTGCACCAGTCACTTAGGCTCATTTGCTGTGGAAGCAATGCAGACTTGATAGTCCTGTCAGGGCAAACATGAAGGAAATCAGAAATGCAGTGAGGTTTTTTTTTGGGGGGGTGGGGGTGGGCAGGAGAGGGGAGGCAGTTTTTTACCCCGTCTTTACTGTGATGGTCTTGGAGGGATGAAGCTTTGTCATCAATGTGGCTCTAGAAGCTTGGACAGGCAAAAACACTGGCAAACAAATATGCTGGCAACCTCTCACCCCAACCATGACCACCCAAACGCACCACTTGCCACTGAGGTGGTATCAACTCTCCATTTAGGTCCTTGTTAACATTATTTGGAGTAGAAATGAGACCAGATGTTTACCTGAATGCTTACACATGAGAGGGAGGAGTTGAGGAATGAAGGAGCATCATGAATTACACAATTTTGGATCTTTTCAAAGAGACCTGGGAAACCCAACTTGTTTTCCAAACTTGTACACCTTCCTACCTCACACCTCATTTCCTGGGACCAACCAGCAGAAAGAGGGAATTGAGGAAACTATGTCTGTAGAAGGCACTGCATAGAGTATTGCATTTCACAGGGCATCCCTAAGCTCATTTCTCCATGTCAGTATCGAGCTTTCTTCTCAGAACCAGCACCTTGTCATTTGAGCAACATAAAAAGTCAAGCCTTGCTCTGTACTGCTGCTGCATTTGTGACAGCTCAACCCCTGACTGTTTTAAGCATTTGCTTAATCATGACATTTTTATTTGCTTCTAACCTTCCAGAGCTTTTATTCTTAAGCTGCACTTCCCAAGGCATGCGCTCTTTTATCGGTTTCCATTAAATGGAGCACGTGTGCTGTGCAAGACAGCCTGGGCCTTATATGGTGCTAGGGTGTAGGGTTCTTAAACAAACAAAAACTGTTGAGAAAGCACTCAAGCTGGGCTCCAACAGAGATGTTAGCTCAACTGACAGACACAAACACTGCTTGAAAATGAAGTTACTCAGATGCAGTGCAGGAAATCAGAGAAATGATGACAAAAGCTTCACTTAGGTTTCTCCTGTTCATCTCATCAAGGGATCCTTCACTGTTGTTTCCCCTATTATTTTCATTATTTTGTCTTGTCTTACAGACTAGTAACCCATTTACCTATATGAGTCCTAGCCTGTTCACAGAGGTGTTCCTTCTCATACTGCTCTTTTCTGGGTACTCCTTTTGTTACTGCTCTTTCAGACAGGATACTGTATGTGGTTCTGGTTACTGAATGTGGGTTCATATAATGGTGTAATGTTTGCTGAACCTACCTCTACACATCATATATTACTTATCCACAGCACAAGTAAAAGGCAAATGTTCCAGGGAATGAGTCAAACTTACTCCTACACATCCCTCCTAGGAGGAAACGCCAGATTTAGAACCCATCAGGCTGTAAGTCAGCCAAGGTTATCTTTCTCCCATGTGATTACTTTCAAGAAGTATCATGGAACACTTTGAAAACATTCCTCTGCACTTGTATTTCCCAACGAAATACTTGTTTTGTGGGCAAAGATGTTTTATCTGCATGGTTTACACTTTAAAAATACCCTTTACTTAATTGCAGAACTATCTGCTGCCTCGTATCAATGTGCAGGTGAACTTGGAGGCAGTCATTCATTAAAAAACAGAGGTTAGACACAGCAAGAAAATGTAGAGGGAGAAGTGGGTTTTGGTTTGTTTGGATTTTTTTAAACAAACATACTTTCTCCTGAACAACACAGGTACAGGCACAAAAGCCAGGCTCACTTTGAGCATTACAAACAGAAGCTGCTGTGCAGGGCAGAGATGCAGACAGGGTTTGCAGTAACTTGTGGGGCTATGGGGAAAAAAAGGTGATTACCCTCAAGATGTCCTGTTTCTCCTTTCTGATACATGGCAGAGCAAACTTCTCCAGGAGGAAGAGATCCTAACCAAGGGATGAAATTCCTGTCCTGTAGTACAGAAAAGCTTCTTGTCTTGCACAGACAAGTTGGTTACCACCTTAAAGTTCTTTAACTGGTTATCAGACCATGCACCAGTCATGCTAAGAACACACTGAACAGTGACTTCTGAAAGTGCTTAACAGTCCATTAGCAGCAAGTAATGCTCAGTGGCCAAGGGCTTCCTATAGAACTTTTTTCCCACTTCAAGAAGTTGAAGGTTTTCACTGCCATAGTGTGGCGTCTCAGCATCCCTTTTCAGAAAATAGGTGAGAGAAAAACTAGGAGAGGAGTCAGCTGCACATGCAGGATGAGCTGAATCCTACCACATGAAAACAAGTAATTGAAGCACTTCAGTTTGGTTCTTTTTTATTATTATTATTATTGAAACCAGTTTTGCCTTGGCTGGAAAACCGATTTCCTGTTCTGATAACTCAAAGCACATTTATTTGTCACTGTTGGTCTTGGCTTTTATGTTCTCAGTAACACCAGTCTGTTTTCTGTCCCCCGCTTCAGACCATGACTGGCTTTATTGTGACCAGAAGCAAACAGCTTAACATAAGAAGCGTCATCTCAACTGTACTATTTCACAGTTTTCCCTTGCAGCACTCCAGTCTGTTTTGCACTGCCACTACAGGATGTCTTTCAAAGATATTAGAGAAACAATTACTCTGGAGGCTGAGCAAAAGTTCCAGCTAAGCAGCTGTCTTTGCCCCGCTCTTCTCACTGCAAACTCCACTAAGATAGTGGCTCCCCTGGGAAGCTCTGATAGGATTCCTTCTTTGACATTTCATGGTTGGACTCTTATCTTAAGGGTTTTTTCCAATCTTAATGATTCTATGATTTTGCTCACTTTAGCTTGTTCAGAACTCTACCTAGGCACATCCAATAAAAACAGTTTTGTACTGATCAACTGTACTGACTACTCGGTTCTCAAAGCTGTATGACTCAGGCACATTGATTATCTTTCCATGCAGTAGCTGCTTTAAGTTCTTGTCTCAAGATGATCACTGCTGTTAGGAGTCAGTCCAAGTATAAAGTCTTTTGGCAGGGACTGTGGAGTCATCTGTGCTAACTGGTCATCGTAGGGACCAAGAGTCCACAGCTTCTCCAATTCATAAACTTCTCGTGTCTCTGGCAGCATGAAATGCACCACTATGTTACCTGCACAGAACAGAAATTCACAATGAATTAATGGGAACAGTAAAGCACTACTGCACCTTCAGCTGAGCAGAGTTCAAGTCTCCCACCCCCTTTCTGGCTAGATACAACATGGCAGCTGATAAAGGTCCCTTCCTAAGCTGCTGCTTCCAGTTCTCAAGCAGTGCTAAGAATTGGTCAGTCCTTCAAAAAACTCCAAGACTACAGTAATAAGATATGAAACATAATACTTTAAAATAATTTAGACACTATCACAAGACTGCAAACCAAAGAAATTATGACTTCTATGGGACAGATGAAACACAAAAGGAATTTTACTTGAAAGAGTCCCCCAAGGTGACAGATGGATTTTCAGCTTTCTTGTACTGTCAGCATTCTGCTAAAGCCAAGCAGTTTTTCCTAGGCATGTTGCTCACACTTCTCAGGTAGTTTTTACAATGAAATAGGTTCAAACTTTGATGTAGTAAGTTTTTCTGGTTTCATTAATTCTGTGCCAACAACAGCAGAGAATGTTAATTCCAATGTTTGTCTAAAGCACTTTTCTGCAGTTATGCCCTTAAATTCCAATTGACTTTCAGTTATTACCATCAATAATTATTATAGTTAGGTAACCGAGGCTTAACATCAGTGGCTGCAGTGCTCCTTACTCATCTGTAAGTGAAGTTTTCATCTTTTAGGTCAAAACACCAAGCCAGGGGTTGAGATTCTTAAAGTAGCAGTGAAGGAGAACTTTTTGAATGCAGTCATTTATATTTGTGTAGAGTTCCGCACTTGTAGAATAAAGAACTAAACGCAATTTCTTAGGACTGAGGTTTTACCCCATGTGATGGTATGATCCGGACAGTGAAAAAGTCTGTTCAATAGTTCATTAGCAGGGTAGTGTACAATGAGCCTCCATTTACCCAAACATGGATTACAGAAACCTGAGGAAACTGACTGAAGTAGATTTTTTTCCCCACTATTGTTACCTTCAGTTTATTAGGACCTGTTTTAGCCACTGAAGAGTAGTTACTGTTTTTTCTCAGAGCCAAAGATATTTAATGGAAAATCATTTATTATCTCAATGAGTTCAAGCAACAATTGGAATTCCCAAACAGCAGAGTACTGTGAACTTTCCACAGTAACCAGGGCTCATAGTGAGATGCTTCTGTCAACAGAGCTCATGCAGAACTTTTGTTTTTCTCAGATTCACAAATATTTACCAAAATCAATGCACAGCCAGTCATCTGTCTCTTTTCCTTCAATCTGAGTATTAGGACCACGTTCTTCTTTGAGATGCTTGTACTGAGAAAAAAAAGGAATGGCAGAAAACTAAGTCTTTTGCATTTATTTAAAAAGCACTCAAGCACCCAGACTTCCACCTGGGAGAGGGGAGGGGGCAGCACAAAGCAGGACTGCACAAAGTCAGTCAGGGAGATTGGGTAGTTCCCCATGCAGCACATGGTGGCTTTTGTAGAGGCCAGCTTGAGAGGCTCAGCTCTCCCCAGCCAGTACATAAAGAATCCAAGAACCCACCAGAGCTGGAGAAATTTGACAGCTCAAGGCTGAAGTATGGTCACTTTCAGATCTGGCCATAACCTACTTGTTCCTCTACAAGGAGTATCAATAGAAATGGCTCCAACAGTCCATTCTGCCATGGAAGACAGAACACCAAATAACATGTACCAGCATGGCTGGCTGGCAAATGAGTTCCACTTCACTGGGAATGCAATTATCACAAAATGCAGCTGCTCATGGTAGTTCTACACAATGTTAATTGCTGGGTAATGATGCTAGTCTGCAAATCAGCATGGAAAACTTTCAAGATGTTAACTCAGAACCAGTTCTACCTTCCTTTCTTTAAGATGGCTTGTAAGAGATCTTCAAAAGATTCCAACAGTCTGCTCAAAATGCTAAAAAGCACTGTGTGAACTGACACTATCATCAAGCTGCAAAGGCTGATCCCTGCTACAAGTTTCCAAGCCTTGTCTTTAGAGGCTTTATAAGGTGAACAGATTACAATGCAGCCAAGTGGTAGCTTCTTCCTCTAACATGAAACCAGATTGGGATGTGGCCTTTGCCGTTCACAAACTCCTGGAAGCAGAACAAGAAGATCTGGTGCTACACCTGAGCACCTCTTTGTTTTACTGTGAGTAAATCTAAGTGTTTAGGAATGGTACTAAAGTTTGCCAGCTGCCTGGAAGCACTCTGGAGCACCTGCACTGCTTCACATTTTAAGCTTCAGCCACTTTTTACCTAGAAAAACTTCCAATGTGAGATGAACTAAGACACCCCCAAGTACTTGTCCAGGCTTCCCAGTTTCTCAGAATGCCCAGGAGGACACCATGTCTCCCAGGAGGCCCTGCCCTTGCAAACTTGCTGCTTTTACAGCCACCAGACGGTGCAGCCATGAAGCCCAGCCATGTTTTTGCAGGATAGGTGGCAGTCACTGATCTCTCCTGGTCTGGGGGAAATGAAAAACTATCAAGACTAGCGAGTAATACAAGAAATAGAGTATATAACAAGCACTTTGATTTAGCATACTCAAATCACATTAATGTAACTTCCAGCTTAAGGCAAAATTTTGATTTGTGAAGATGCACCAGTTCCTGCAGACTACATAAGAAACTCTCCTAACCTGCTCAGAAAGGCCCTGAAAAGCGAAACCATCTCTCCTGCTCTCCCTTCCCCCCATAAGTCTCACAGCCAAAACCAATGGGACTGGAAGGAAGAAAGCAAAACCAAGAGTGAAAGGAAAAACAGGGTCAGGAAGCGAAGGAAAGTGGGTGGTGAGAAGGCAAACTCCAGGCTGAGTACAGACAGCTGACTGAAATGGGGGCTGGTCATATTCCTCATACTGTGCTTTTTAACAGTTGCACAGCTCTTCTCAGGCAAGAAAGTTTCTCCCTCCCTGAGTTTGGTCCTCATCTCTAAGTTCTACCCATAATTTTATTCTGACATCCATCTCTGTATTGAAAAGTCCTCTTTCTTCCAAAGCCAAACAGCAGAGGATTCCTGTGCAAGGATGGCTGCTGCTGCTTCTCCTCTCCTGCAGTACATGCACAGCACACTGATGATTACCAATTTGCTTAAAGCTTATGAGGGGATCCTGTGCCTCTTAAGAGGCCAACTTTTTTTCCAGCCTTACAATATACCTGAGAAAGTGGAAATTTTAAGGATCAGAGTTTGAGAAAAGTCAGATAAAGCTATTTTGAATGACTGGGAATAGCAATGGTGCTTGCTGGACAAAAATAAAGGCAGACACAGGTCATCATCACCATCTCACATCATTCATATTCTGGTCACACAGCTGTGATGTCCTCAGTGCTCTACATACAGAGAGATCTGTTTCTAAAACAAACTACCTATGTTTTGTATAGTACCACTAAAGGGAAAAACCCACAGTTACTTCCTAGATGTATTCAGGATTAAATGACAATGATAATGTCATCAGTTTCATCTTACCTGGTACACCCCTACACATGCAATCATGGGGAAATTCCTTTCACAACATTTAAAACCATTTCCCAAAACTCAGAGAGAGCAGCAAGAACTGTCTTACCATTTTCAGCATGTAATTTGCCATTGCATGAAGATGCCGTGTTGAAAATCCGCTCACAATTATAAAATAATCACAGTATTTTATTTCTGGAGATAGCTGGATGACACAGATGTCTTTAGCATTTTCTTGCCTCAGCAGTGCTACAACCAAGTCAATGTTGAACTTCGGAAGAACAGTATCTGGAGCACATTGAAAAAATCGTACAGTGACAAATTTTCATTTTAATAGCAAAAATTAACCATTTAGAGCCATAAAATAACAATTAACTGAATTACAGCCCAAGCTAGTCACTCACTGTGGAGTTTAGTTTGATACTGACAATGCAATGTGAATTGCAGATTTTTCAAAATCATTTTTATAGCCACCAAAGCTGAGAAATAAGCGATCTTCCAGTAAACACTATCACTAGACGTAACAGTTACCTAATGAAACTTTGTTTTTTGCTAACTTACTTATTTCTTGTTGTTGCCATTTAAAAGTCAATAATATCATCACACTTGTCAATGTAGATAAATTAAATTTAAGTAGTCAAACAGACAAAACTGAAAATATTTCAGAACAGTGCTCTTCAACAGTCTGTGATAATACGTTGTGATGAAACTGTTCTAGAATCTTAAGTAGAAGAAATGACTATTTTGAAAATGGAGCTGACGTGATGCAGAGTGAAGATATTTTTTTTATTTGTAGGCTGAGTAAAGTGACTTTTTTTTCCTTTTTCCCTATCCTGACCTGGTGCAGAGCATTATGATACTGCAGACAAAGCTTTAGTCCTTCAACAGTTTAAGGAAGCCAGCTAATAAAACAGTAAATCAGTGAAACTATGTTCTGTTCACACCATAAAATCAGTTTATTTCTAATTTGCCCTAATTACGTAGATACAACTTGTATGCACACTTTAGGCATAACTCGAATCTGTCAGCAATGCAAGTCTGCCACTATAAAATGAACGTTAGTGCAGACTGAGCACCAGCACAAAGCCAAGCTTTATATTTCCCAATATAAAGAAAAAGCCGAACAAAGGAACAATAGCTACAATTATACGCATGAATGGGGATATGAAATTGGATCAGATCTCTGTAAATATAAGGCTTTCAGCTGGGGCACTCATTCAACTTTTTGCTGTGGTCACACATCTTGAAAATTAGCAGTGGCCACAGCCCCTCCAGACACAGCGCTTACAGCAGTCAAACATGTGCCTGGTAGCCACATAAGAAGCCTCCAGAGCCCGCCTGGACAACGCATAGCCTAAACATGGCCCGGCACTGATCGTCACGGTCAGACCCAGGCTGGAGGAGCTTTGCTGAGCTGCCACAGCCACAAACCAGCCCTGAGCACACAAGGCTGGTGCCTGCAAGGAGCCCTGGTGCTTCCGAGGCTGTTACACAAGGTAACACCGGCTGCGAGCGCAGGGCACAGCAATGCACCCTCCGGCCCGGCAGCAGCTCCCTCACACGCGGCTCTACACTCGGGCTCCCTCCGCACCGCCCCGACTCCTCACTTCCCAGCGCCGCTGCCTAGGCCGTGCCGGCCTAGCGCTGGTGCCGTGACCCCGAGATGAGGCCGATCCCACCGCACTGGGCACGGCGAGGATCCCGCGCAGCTGCAGCCGCGATTCCACGCGTGCCGGGCCGCCCTCTCCTTCCTGGCGAGGCGTCACACTCCGCTCAGGGTCCCGCTGGGCACCCCTGCAGCGCGGCCCCGGCCTGGGCCCTACCTGCCGGCTGGCACCGCTCCGCCGCCCCCAGCGCCTCGGGCCCGGCTCCGCCTCCCGCCGCCGCGCAGCCCCGACCCGGCGGGGCCCGGAGTGGCGGCGGCTCCGCCCGCGGGGCGCCCCCGGCCGCGGCTCCGATCGGCCGCAGGAGCCGCCGCGCCCCCGCCAGCGCCCGCCACATGCCGGCCCGCGCACCGCCCCTCCCGGCACGGAGCTCCGCCATTGGCCGGCGGCGGGGCCGCCCCCTCGCCTCATTGGCTCAGCCGGCTGCCGGTCGGGCCGCGGCGCTGCCGGCGCGGGCCCCGAACCGCGCTGGGCGGGCCTCGCTGGGAGCGGCCTCTCGAGGATCACAGAACCACAGGGAGGCTTGGGTTGGAACGGACCTTAAAGGCCATCCGCTTGCGACCTGCGTGCCGTGGGCGAGGACACCTTCCACCAGACGGTGGCTCAGAGCCCTATCCAACATGGCCTTGAACACTTCTCAGTGATGAGGCATCCACAACTTCTCTGAGCAACCTGTTTCAGTACCTCACCACCCTCGCAGTAAAGAAATTTTTCCTAGTATCTCAACCTACTATCTTTCAATTTGAAGCTATTTCTCCTTGTTCTGTTGCTCCTCAGCCTTGTGGTCTCTCTTGTCCTCCCTGCCAGGTGCAACTGATCTGTTGGGTTTCCAGCTGCATGCGGCCTGTGGGACTCTGCAGCCAGAACGCAGATGCAGGTTAACGTGGGATACATCCTGAAGGCGTCCTGTTTGGTACCAGGGCTTGGTAATGTGGGCCAGAGGATAGCTGAAGAAGCATCAATTTTAAAGATAGCTTGACGTGTCTGGATTTGAGAGGAAAGACCATCCTGCTCTGTAAACACCACTGTGTTGTGCTGGGTTGTTGGGCAGCTGGAAAAGGGCAGATACACTACATGGGCACTGCCATATAAACCCAAACCACGTATCCCAGCTCAAGCCTTTTGCCCCCTTTTATAGACTATGGTTTTGCCTAATGGCAAAACTGCACCTGGTTTGAAACATGTTTTTCATGGGGAAAGTGTGTTTTCTGTTTGTGTAATTCCTGCATGGTGTTAATGGGCACAGGTTAGTAGTCTTGCTATGCTTGGTTTGCTATGGAGAAAGTTGTCAAGGGTTGAGAAATTACGACCTTTAAGCATTTGTATTTAATGTGAGTGAAGCATATTTCCCTCCACCTCCTCCCCCTGGAAATCCTGACATTTACAGGGATACTAAAATAGGAGAATTGCCAGTCAGAATGTTTTTTCCACTCTCACCAAGCATGATGGTCAAACAATGATATTAAGGTTTAAAAGACATAGTCATGGATGGTGCCAGACTCTTTCTGGTGGTGCCCAGCAGCAGTGCAAGGAGCAGTGGCCATGAACTAAAGCCAAGAAGTTTCACCTGAACATGAGGAAGAACTTCTTTATATTGAGGGTGGTGGAGCACTGGAACAGAGTACACAGGGAGGTCGTGGAGTCTCCCTCTCTGGAGATTTTCCAAACCCATCTGGACACACTCCTGTGTAATCTGCTGCAGGTGACCTTGCCTTGGCTGAGGGTCTGGACTAGATGATCTCTAGAGGTCCCTTCCAACCTATGAAATCTGGGATTATGGAATTCTGGGTGAATTATAAAGACCTCTAGTGATAAAAGCTCTACTGTTAAAGAAAAGTTGACTATGCTGCAAGAGGCTGGAGGTGATTGTACGAATAAGCCACAGTGGCTGGATGACTCTTGCAAAGTTTTGTTTCATTCCTCTACAATTCCGTCAGAGACTGGTGTTTTTTAGACTTGGTTTTAGCTTTAAAATACTTTTGGTAAGAAAAAATTGCCACATCTGATGAGCCTTAATTGTGCACTATAAAAAATATTCAAGAAAAGAAGGGGGGAGGAACAAAAGAAGTGGTTTGAAATAACAGCTCAATTTTTAAAGTAATTCTTAACAAACTTGCTACCCAACTGATGTTTCAGTTTCTCTTGAAGACATGTTTGAAAAGATGTTCTTTCTTTGAAGACAATGTACATTTATGTTTGATGTCATTCTTGATGTTATTTCTCCAAAAGGAATGCCTGAAACTTGTCTTGTAACATTTGCTGACATTCACAAATCTGTTCTTTGTCAGCTGTTCTTGCCTTTGAAAGACATGAAGTTCATTTGTATCCTGATCTATTCTGAAATTGTGTCATCTGGGTGTTAAGAAAGCCTCCTTGCTTCTTAGGTTTGTGGTGCTGAGTACACTTGAAGGAAGACTGCAAAATCAGCTTGATAACCCGTGGTAGAGCCAGGTGTGAACTAAGAGCAAGGCAAATCCCGTGTTTTGTGGAGGTAAATGATCAATAATTGCTTATCTCACAGTTTATTCTTCTGAGACAAAGCAGTGAACTCCTTAAAATCATTACATGGTTTATTTGTCAATGCAGCAGTTGAATTCCATTGTATAAAAGTAAAGATGTATGAAATAGAAGTTACAGCTGAAAAGGCAAAATCGTAATATAAAAATGTAGTATTCTGACATGACACTTAAAGGGAGATAGTGCAAGATATTCCTAATACCTAGGTTAAAGTATAAAAAAGTTCTTAACATATGCCTGAAAGCTGTTTTCTATGCAAAAGCTTAAGATGTCTCTGAGCATCCTCACTGATCCTAAGCTGTGACAGATTTTATGTTTTCATGCTTCATTACAGTCATCTTAAGCTTTCCACTAAACCCCTGTCCTACCTCAAGCTAGAGCAACAAATACAAATTACAGTCCTGCCTGACTGATAACAGAGGACATAACACTTAGACAGTAATTTTTGCAGAAAATGTGTTTCCTGTTTAAGTAAATAATTTGAGATGCTACTTCTTAGACAATAGGATGTTACGTATAAGGAAGTTGGAACAATAGCAAATACACTGCTTTTAATAATATAACTAAAATAGCCACAAAAGAATTAAAATACTGGGCGAACCTGGAAACAAAAGAAGAAAAGCGGCTGTTGAATTTTAGAGCTAAAGAACTAATCTCACAGGTATGTTGGAATCTGCATTTTTAAAAATATCCTTAAGTCCTTGAAAGGTCTCTGCACATTGGGAAGGGGCAGTGAAGATTAGATTCAGATTACAAATGATAAGCATTTGGAAGATCTGCTAAAACAGTAAGAAAGTGTGTTTATAATTATGTATTGCCACAGGAAAACAGAAAACAGTACGTATCAGAGATGTTTCAAGACATGGTAAGTAAGCTAATTATATTGAAATCGAGATTTTAAAAGAATTCAGTGTTTAGAAGTGGATTGTGTTAAGTTCATTTGCCCAGCTTCCATTTTCGCTATAGCCTTTACTAACAAAAGCAGAAGTTTTATGAAACATGAACTACAAAGAATTTTTGGCCAGTTTGCTCATCTCCATGAAACTTTTTAGCAACCTCTTATCTTTCTGCAAATAAGATGCTCTGCTTTTCTCATCATCCAGTGAGCCAGCCTTCAGCAGTTTGTGCTGGTCTCACACTGTGAAATGCCATGATGCTGAGTGATGAGCATATGTGGCTACAAGCCTAGATTACTTGTGAAAGGCCTCAGAACGAGTTCTTTTAACAGAATTGCAGCTAGAGTGGACAATTGAAGGCACATTGATTTAATAAGTTTACATTTTCTAAGGTGTGTCACATAAAAGCAGAAACTGGAGCAGAGTGTTTTACTTATCTTGGGGTTTTCATTTATTTGATTTAGTGGTCAGAGGGATGGAGGAGCAAACAGAAATTAATATGTCTTTACAGCAGGAAAGACAGAAAGGAAGAGAAGAGAAGAGAAGAGAAGAGAAGAGAAGAGAAGAGAAGAGAAGAGAAGAGAAGAGAAGAGAAGAGAAGAGAGAAGAAGGCAGTTGAATGCTACCCTTCCTACAAGATCCCTTGTTCTGCTGACCCTTCATTGGACATGGAGCAATCTTCCCCCTTGGGAGCAGTGGTGCTGGTCCAGTGTCTCAAGACCAATGGAAGCAAAAGAGGCAAAGGCAGCAACTCAGAACTTTACATGGCACTCAAAGTTTGAGCAGGAAGAGCCAAGCCAATGGGCCTCATCTTGTTGCTCGGGTGTCTGTGGTCTAGTTTATAGTGAGACTCATGCACTGCTAGCCATGTCCAGTGGGAAGCTAAGTGTGTCCAGCCCTGTCTTCTGTCCCTGAGGCCAACTGGCATTTAATTAGCTGCACCCATGCTATTGAACCCTGAAAAACAGGGTGGCTGCTGCCAAACTCACAGTGGGGGGCTGTGCCTCTGGTGGTTCCCAGAATCTAGGGTTTGCTTGGTGGGGAGCTGGCCTGCCTGGGGCAAGTCTGTGCTGAGACCTCCTGAACAGTGTAACAGTGGCAGCAGTTCAATGCCAATGCCTGGGAGAAGGCCATGGCACGTTTCATTCCACAGACATAACACGTGCCTGCCCCCCATGTCTCTCTTTACAGCAAAGACATGAATCCTGCTAAGGCAGTAAGCAGCAATAAAAACTAAGTGTTTACAAGTTGGTTGGTTGCTGGAGGTTTTTGGCTTTTTTTTTTTTTTTTTTTAATTAACCTTTTTTTTCTCCCCCTTCCAGATTATGGATGTGATTAATTTTGCAGGTTGTTAACCTAGAAGTAAGAAAAGCCAGATAAGGATGCGGGGTTGGGGGGTATTAGTAATTCAGAAGTGTGTATCCTACATCACAAGCAAGAACAGCAAGTGCTTAAAACTACCTCCTTGTTTTTCTACAAAGGACTACTTTAATGTTGCTAATTGCACCAAGCCCCAAAAGTTACCATCCCATCTATATGTGCTTTCACCTTACTCCCTGGGGTTTTTTTTATAACAGCAAGAAAGCCCCATTAAAGTACAGTTCAGATACAAGTCCTGTACTTAATCTAATATTTAGTGTTACACTAAACGTTTAAACAATGCCTGGTTTACTCTTCAGCAGAGGATTTCTCTCAGTGCTATTAGGGGAGAAAATGGCTTTGAAAGTGCTGAAGTAAGCAGTGAATCCCTCCTGCTTCTCTGCTTGTTCTGCACTCCTCTCAATAGGCTTGTATTGCTTGTATCTCCTGCAAGGAATGTGCATAGTTAGTTGCTGAAAGATTTTTAAAGAAGGGCCCACATTTAGCATGTGACCAGTGCAGAAAAGCACTAATCACGTGTTTACCATGCATTCTCTCTCCTCCTCC